ATAACAAGGTCACACAGTCTGTCAGAGGTTGTTTTTTGTTGATTATGATGTCATTTTGGTTTTATTTGAACAGAATGAACCACATATTTAAGCCAACATCTAGAATACAAGACTTTTGGGGTAAGCATAAAAATGCTGCTTTTATTACCATTTTTGTTTTTTATTACCATTTAAAGTCCTCATAAAATTACAGTACAATTCACTAGCATAGGTCTAAGATTACTACCGTTTTTTTCTTGGACTGAAGTAAACAAATTGGGCCTGAGAAGGGTCAAGAACAGAACATCCCATCGGAGGCAGCTGCTGTATTCCTCTGCATGATACAGCACAGCAAAATATAATGTTGATCTTAAGACTGTGCAAACACTGAATATAACCCACAAGTTATGAGAGGTCAACAAGTTAACATAAATACAAACTAAATTAGTTTAGCATGGTTTCTTTGAGAATATTCTATAAAATATTATGGCGTAGAAACAGGAACATTATTTGGCAGCCTTTCCACGTTACATTATTACACTATACATCTCCCCCTAAGACAGATGGACAAGGCTAAAGCCGCACAATTATGTTGAACAAGAAGAACGGATGAACTGATGGAAACCAGGATGATTTCTGCTTTGACATTTTCTGACACTCTAAAAGTTTGTGGTTCTTACATTTGAATACAAAGCCTCATATATTCCACCAGGGTTTCAGATTTAAATACCAACATTTAATTAGTGGGCGGTGCAGTTTCCTTCCACAGACCAAAAACATGCAAGTTAGGCTAATTGGTAACTAGGTGTGAGTGAGAGAGTGAATGGTTGTTTGTCTCGTTTGTCTCTATGTGTCTCTGTGATGGACTGGAGACCTGTCCAGGGTGTCCCCTGCCTCTCACACAGTTTTAGTATATGGGATGGATGAAATTCAAACAGCAAAAATGTCTGTTTGGTCCTCCCATTTTGACTGTCACCTCTTTTAATCAACTAGATCGATCTTTGGTCTCTCCAGAGACAATAATAGTCACTGGATATCAACTACTGTAGATGTTATAGTTAAAATATTTTGACCGCTGAGGTAAAAAAAAAAAAAAAAATTAATGTCGCCTTTTCAGAGAGACCGAGCTTTTGATTGTAGGCTACTTCAAATGGTTCAAGAAAGCAATTTATTTTAGGTCTGCGTTTTAGTGGCATTTACACGTTTTTTTTATTAACCTTTATTTATTTAACCAGGTGAATACCATTGGGATCTATTTTGACAGATCTATTTTGCAAGGAAGACCCAGGCCTGAAGGCAGTCTAGCATTCACGTTTTTGGACTGTGGGAGGAAACCCAGGAAAAACTCACACAAACACAAGGAGAACATAACTCGACCCGGAAGATTCAGCTGGGGATTGAGCAGGAGCTTCTTGCTGTGAGATAACAGTGCTAACCACTAAGCTGTCATTCTGCCCAATTTTAGTGGGTACTCAGTGGTTCTTTAGGATCTATGAGAGTCTTTTATTATCATTTATATATTTTGAACTTTGACCACTTTTTCACCCTCTGTTCAGTCCAGCTTTTGTACTTGAACTGTATCTTTGGACCGGCTGAGTTCTTTGATGGTTTGTCTGGTGTGTGCCAACACAAAAGTTGTTTAGAAGCCTTTTGATGCCCGAGTCATTCACAGCTCCAAGATAAGCAGCTTATTAAAAAACAACAACAACCTTCCTGACAATGTTAAAAAAAAAAAACTTTTACAAGCATTCAGAAAGTCTTTAGAAATATTGCTTGAAGCTACATTTAAAGAGTACAAGAAAGTCTAGGATTTTTGAAGCATCCTTTTAAAAAAATGGCAAAACTGTTTGTCATTTCCTTCTATGTTAATAATACAATTATTGATTATGAAATCATTTAGAAATGTTTATGTATTGATGAGACACCAGCAAAATGCCCAGTAAATACATTTGGAAACCACCTGAGTAACTTGCATTTGAAAAACTGTTACTTTTTATTAACCTTCATTTAGCAAACCAAGAGATCACAGATCTCTTTTGCTGGGAAGGCCTGCACCTGAAAACAGCCTAGCATGCATGTTTTGGAAAACCAATTCCTAAAACAACCTGGAGCATCCAGCTTGTACGGTAATGGAATGATTTAAAAATACTCTTTATTAAGGTTTGATCCATGATTTTGTGAATAAATGCTGTGGACCTCACTTTCATACACTTCTTTGGTCTGTTATCAATAATACAAGAAGAGATGAAGCTGGTGCCACATGGCTCAATCCATGTCAATGTAGTAAATGATTAAATGAGCAATGAAAACATAAATGATCAAATGCTGTTCTTCTGTATTCAAGATACACAGTTTACAGCATGAGATGAATGTACATACGTTACACTCAATTTAATGTGTTCTAATATATCCTATTAAATGAACTTCATCATCTTGTTGAGTTTGTAATACTTTACTTCAAATCAAAGTCCTTGTGTTTAATATTCATCTGCAGAGCTTTTTTTTTTTTTTAAATCCATCATATTAAGTAAAAATTCATTGATATGTTATTGTCCAGCCTGTGACACACCTGCCCCCATTCTCTTTGCAAAACTCTTCACGCTTGTCACCTCCGCCTCATCGTCTTCTTGTGTAATTTCTTCTCTTCATCCTTATTTTTTATATTTTTTTTAGGGAGGAAGCCTTGAAATGACATCAATGAGGCTGTGCAGGATGCAGGGAAGACACGAAAGGATGGAGCAAGAAAAAATAAAGAAAACAAAGTTACTGAGACGGAGAAAAAACAGGGATGAAAAAAAAAAGCATCAGTAAAAGACCAGAAAGAGAAGCACAGACACTGAGGAAGAGAAAGTAATTATAGGACTCCCAGTGTCTTCAAAGCCCACTTTTATCTAATTCTTCCTGTGGCTGAGAAAAAGAGGAAGCAGCGGAATGAGAAGAGGAAGACTAAAGTCCAAGCTTTAGTCCGATCCAGACTCCAGGCACCAGCCGGCTGCATCAAAGACTCACTCAGACTCATTCATGTCTTCTGTTTCAAAGACGCGCATCGTCTGAAGGGAAATGTTTTGGTGGTGAATGAAACTAAGATAAACAGGAGGGGGGTTCATGTGAAGTACTTAAATGCTGGTGTTCCAAGAGGAACTGTTGTGATTATTATTTATTGTGAAACATTTTACTTAGCTGTTGTTGAGGTGTTAGGGTTTAGTAAGCAAAAGCAGTAATTAAAAAGTGCTTTTACAGTTTCTGATTATGATACATAATGACATTTACAGAAACTTCAATGTGGCTCATATAATATTTCATACGCTCTTCAGGAACTTGTGTTAAAAAAAAAAATCATTAACTGAACATTGTTTTAGATAGCTGATGGTTCACCTCTTTGTTCCTCAGAGATTTGGTCTTTCTGCTGGACCAGGTGATGAAGTGGTGAACGGTCCACTTCTTTAACTGCAGGGTCTGTCAAACACTTGGCAACATTTCTCATTCTCACTGCAGTGCTTTGCTATATTTGACAAATCCTGCATATGATTTGTAAAATATATCATATTAAAGCACTGTAAGTGTGGTAAATCAAGTTAAGCCCATTTAGTTAGTTATTTTTTCACTAGACTAAACTGATACCAGCTTTAGATATGCCAGCACACATTTTTTGCCTGTCCCAAACAGAGACTATGTGGAGACTGGTTAAATAAAAATGATAGTGAACCTCATTGAACCATTGTATCTGATGGCAGAAGGCAATTTGCATTTTTTCTATATTTAGTTAGCATTTTTTTCCTTAACCGTTTATTCATTGTTTAGTTTTGCGAGGTATATTTAAGTATTAGTAACAGCAGCTACTAGAACAATAACTAGGGAAGAAAATATTAACTTTATTTTAATTGAATTTTTGCACTGCCTGAAAAGATTGTATTGTAACAGTATCACCCAGAACAAAAATAAATACATTCAAGCGAAAAGTTTGAATGATGTTGACAATACTGACTGATGCGAAGTACAAACTTACAGCTGTGCATGTATTCAGAAACAAGACCTGGAAAAACACATTTTAAAAGAAAGTACTTTTTTTGTTTTTTCAAACATATGCTGATGAATAAACCCAATATATCTGGAGGGATTTTGTGCTTTCACAAAGCAGCATGAAAACATTTGGGATAGATTGTGTATTTTTAAAAACGTGGGTTCGTAATTGAGCTTTATAATTAAGTTGGTTGACACAGAAAATACTATTTACTAATAGGTCTCCATTAGGAGTCAGAAGGATTTTAGTACCTGACTGGGCAGCACAGTGGCACAGTTAGAACTGCCGCCTCTCAGTGAGAAGGTCACCAGATCGAATCCTGTTTCCTCCCACAGACCAAAAAACATGCATGTTAGGCTGGTTGAAACTCTAAATTATCCCTAGTGAGTGAGAGAGTGAATGGTTGTTTATCTCATTTGTCTCACTGTGTCCCTGTGATGGACTGGAGACCTGTCCCAGGGTGTCCCCCGCCTCTCTGGATACGGACACCAAAACTCAGTGGGATTAACCTGTCTAAATAAAGGTTGAATGAAGGAGCCCCCACGACCCAAAAAGAAGAAATGGGTAAAGATAACAGATGACACTTGTCTGTTCACAGTTGGATGTTAAGTTACACTGCCTTTGAAAAGATATGTCCTTCTGCTGCTTGAATTTGTCTCATCCCTGGGATTTTCTGCTTCACATCAATTAATAAATAAATAAAAAAAATCCGTCTCCTGTTTATTTATGCTATGACAATGGCCACTAACAAAGTTGGTTAAAATACATGTTAGGAATACTTTTAACTGCCTACTTTTATTATAAAATCCGTCCCAATAAATCCGCTGCAGCTCATGACCACCAGATGGCGCCGTCGAGTTGTTACCTGCAGCGTAATTGCCTTCACAAACAGTCGGTCTACCTGCGTTAATCGGTTTCTCTTTCAGGGTGGAGAAGAAAAAAAAATCACTAACTTCCTTTTTCTCTCTCTCTCATCAAGGAGGAGCCTGCAGACACACCGACATGCACCAACGTGGAGGCTGAGACACAAGTCGGACTGTGCGGAGTGAAACCTCTGAACTCAGCAGGCCGTCTGCGATGCGCTCTTCCTGTCACCAGCCAGGAGACTCGAACCATCACCGAACCATCAGAACCGAGCACTGGTCCACCGATTGTCCAGAGAAAGCTGAGCAGGCAGAGTCAGGGCTCAGAGCTTCAGGTAGGAACTCCAGGAACTTAGGAATGCTTTAAACAGACTGCTGCAAGACTTTAGGGAAATTCCTGAGCAACACTTTTTCTTTTATGTCACACTAACGTGAGTTTTACTCTGATGTTACCTCATAGATAAAACAACAAGTAGTACTGGTTTATTGTTGCATTGTGTAGAATGTCATTTAAAATCCTATCGTTTGTGCTTGATTACTGTCTGTGTATTTATGAGACTCAAAATAACAATACTTTTATATACATACATACATATACATACATACACGCATACACATTTGAAGTCCTGAACAACATGTTTGAATGAACAGAACCTGTGTTTGTTGTGAACTGCATGGAGACTCTGATTAGTGTTTGATAATCATAAATATGCATTTACAAAAAAAAAAAAAATGAATGTATAAAAAAATAATATTTGAACAATGCAGAGGAAGTGTCAAATTATTCTAAAGTATGTGGAGAATAGTGTGCATGTTGGTGCAAATGTTTTAGCCCAAGGAGGTAGATTTTTTTATTTTTTTTTTACATCACTAGTTTTATTGTTTAGACATCAGTAATTGGCAGAAATAACGTCATTTCAGACTCAGAGTTTCTTCGTCATTTGCACCACATGTGGTACATGTGGTGGAATGACATTTTGCACACAGGGTCCCAGTTACATTCAACATTAAAATGTAAAAGAAAAACAGTAATAAGATGTAAGATATGAACTAAGAAAAAAACATCAACTAAAAATGTGCTAAGCACTAGTAACATAAAAACAATACGCCGAACAGCAGCATGAACATGAGTCTGATTTAGAGTCTTAAACAAGTTTAAGAAGTTTGACTTTATTTAAAGGTGCTCAGTATGTTCTTATGAAGTCTGCCTGAAATTAAGAAAAAAATATCATAAAGTAGAAAAACAAAACCAGCATTTTTTTTTCCTCATATTATTTACTGATTTGTCCTTACATTTTTTTTTTTTTTTTAATGACAGCATATTTTTCTGCATACCATTTGTGTACCTAACAGCCAAAGTGACTAAAATAGCACAGTAATGGTGACATCCATGAAAAAGTTTGGGATTGACTATTAAATGCATTAGTATGTATTAATTTTGTTGACTAAAATACGCAGATAAGATTCCACGGGGTTTCAGCAGAGTGATTTGTTTACATTCAGTGCGTACCTGCATTTCAGAATACATATTATATTAAGAAAACTACAGGAGTAAAGTCTTTTAAACTACATTATTTGCTATAGTTCAGTATAACCTTCATTTATAGATTGATAGTTTGCGATAAACACCATTAAGTTTGTTGGAATAAAATAGTTTGGTTTACCGATTTATTTTTAATCATGACATTTTAAAACAATAGCAAGTTCATCATGTTTAAATCATGAACAAGTTCATTTGTTTTGTATGCTTTTAAAGTTGTGTTTATTTGGGCATTAGTGCATTTGTGACCCATGCACACCTTCGTCATCTGTCTGGATAATTGTTTTCTTGGTGCCGCCTGACTGTCCCGGGCCCTGGGGCCCCCCAGGGAAAGTCCTGCCCACAGACAGGCAGCTCAGGCTGGCTGGGGACATGTCAGGTCCTGCCGTGCCTCTGAAGTCTCCTCACCGGCTTTGAACTGAAGCTGCTGGAGGAGGAAATCAATCCGTCTCTATCCTCTGTGTCTCTCTCTGACTCCCCCTGCAGCCCCCCCCCCCCCCCCCCCCCCCCCCCCCCCCGGGCCGGCCTGTTGCTGCCGTTGCTCCAAAAAAAAAAAGAAAAGACAAATCTTTCATGTTCACAGGTAGAAAGGCAAAAGCAAGAGTCATAGAAGAAACAGGAGGGAGTGTAACTCATCTTCAAAAGACGTTTATATGGTTTGTGGGGATTAAAGGGATGAAGGTGGAACAACTGACAAAGCGGGTGCCTGTGGTCATGAGCATCCAATATGAGACTGAAGCGATTCGTTTACTTACTCACCGCTGTCACTTCGAGCTGCGCCGTACTGGAATCCACACATTAGCTCTGTTTATTTTGGAATGACATCATAGGAAGGAGAGGGGGTTCTTGTGTGTTTTTCTTGTGAAAGTTACGGCTGAGATTTATGCCGGATCACAGCTGATTTTAATCCGACGTGTCCATTTGCCCCACGAAGAAATTTATAGAGCTCAGGAGGCCTTCTGGGGTTGAGCGTTTTGGAATGCTCCACACATCTAAGAGGAAGCTCGGCTTAACACGTCATCCGGAGTTTACTTATGGAAGTTATTTTGACACATCATATTGCTCCAAAGAGTAATTTATTGATACTTTTACTGTTTGGGGGATGCTTGTACCCACACAGTCAAACTACCATCAGGACCATCTGCTTTATTAGCTTCGTTCCCACAGGCACAAAGGCACTGGAGTTGTTTTAATTACATTTATACAAAGCATATAAAAATACTTAATATCAATATGTTTCCAGCCAAGTTTGATTTATATACTTTAGAAACAAAAGGGCCTTTAAAAAAAAATAAATAAATAAAATCTAGAGACAATGATGTGCTTACATCATAGAGAAATTGGTCACATGATTTCACATACACCTTGAATTAGTGGCATTCAACCTATGCTTGAACTGGCAGATTACAAAATCTGTTATTCTGATTTTTTTCCAACAAAGATAATTATGTTATTGCTTCAATTAGCTTCAGTGTAACTCTCCTCATTTGCCTCACTTATGTGCTAAACAGTGACTGTATACATTAGCCCCATCTGTCTCAACCAGTCTGCCTTAACTTTGCCTAAACACTCTATAAATTCAGTATGCTTGCCATCGCTGCATAATGTGGCATTGCTGTTAATTTGTGTCCGGTTACAAGTTCAGACAAGCCTCCCACTATATGCACTGAATAATTTAGTTTCAATGAAACTCACATCTCTGATTTTGAGCCTGTTAGTAGTACCTGCAGGTCTGTGGTGTAATGAGGACTATCTATCTACTAGAAAGACTGTTTCACTTTGGCATTAGGGCTGCACAACAGATGAAAAATGTCTCATTATTGCAATATAATAATAATAATAATAATAATAATAATAATAATAATAATAATAATAATAATAATAATAATAATAATAATAATAATA